GTCAGAGAAGATTATGTTACACACTTATGAACGAGAATGGAATCGAACGATTTATTGTTTAAAGCAACAGGTATATATATATGTGAGAACAAGGAAAGGCGAAGAACTCCGCGGACGGCGACGAGGCCGCCAGAAGAAAGAAGCAGACGAACACACACACATACATGTACAGAACAAAAGAAGATATAGATGAAATACATATGACGTTGTAACAAAGATCGGCAGAGATGATACATATATGATGATGTCACTTAACAAATCCGAGTGTTATGTGTACTTCAAAAAGTGAACCTAACGACAGATTGATTTTGATAATTCGAAAAAAATCATCCTTGAGCGCACTAAGGAGCTGCCCCTTAGGCCCTGCGGATGCCCTCTTTTTGTCCCATAGGACCTGGCGAGGAGTTAGTTCCAGAGACTTTACTTGTTTATATAAATATAACTTATTTTTTAAATTAAATCTAGTTCTTTTTTTCTTTTTCACAAACTCATATCAATTATATCATTTTTTTTAGTATGAATTGATGGGGATTATTTGAAAATGGCAAGAGAGCATCGTAATGAATGCCGGTAAAGTGAATACATAAACTTGATTTATTCATATCTGACTTATATCCAATATATTTGAGATGACCTCCTGCAGTTCCATTATCAAATCTGTTAATCAAATCTTGTGTACTGATATCAGATGGAATGTAGTGTACACGTTTTGGATCATCGAGAAATTTAACATAAGAATAAATGGGCTGACGTAATGCTATAGAAAGTGCATGAATTTGAACTTCTCCACCCCATTGTTCGTTTGTGACAGTTCTCCTTAACTGTTCTTCAAATGAATAGTTCAATAAACGGCAAATGGTTTTGAAATGATTACTATTAATAATCATAGCATTGACTGTCAATAATCTCATAGAGTGTGTTAGTTCTTCAGATCCAATTTTAATTATTGATAAAGAACTGTACAAGCAATTTCCATCTCCAGTTGTATGAGTTCGTGCGTAAAATGCATCAAATGCTTCAACAGAATATTCTATTTTCGGTCTGATTTTAACAGATCGATCTTTGTTATAGACAGTTATAAATCGCGACTTTTCAATTAAATCATCGATTATTCGAGCTTGACTTGAAATTTGGGTAGTCCCTGCAGCATTATCAAATTCAAGTAGAAGGAGAAAATGATCAAGAATCTTCCTTGAGTCTGAATCAATGATTTCATAGTTTGTGGGAAAAGATTTTTCTTCAGTTTCCATCGTATCAAATGGCTCATTCACTTTGAGATCTTCTAATTGGAAGGACATATCTAAGTCAATTTGTTCATTCTTATCGATTGTTTCATGACTTTCAAAAACAAATTTGTCGTCGATATCCATCGGGTCAAATTGGTCATCAAGCATAACTTCATCATTGATATTAGAAGTTACATTTGTATGAATGTTTTTGATTTCATGAACATGAGACTTACTCAAAACTTTATGTTTTCTTATCCATATTGGCTTATGAAAACTTGTAAGACTTTCAAAATAATCAGACTTTACGTCTTTCATATTAGAGAAACAATAGTCAATTTGTGTTTTTGCATTAGTTGAATCTTTATTTAGTGTATTATTCAAACTAAGTCCAAATGATTTCATATATTCAATAAATTTGTTATTGATTTTAATCTTCAAGTTTATATTAAAATTACCAACGACAATTATATTATCACAAAATCTTTTTGAAATAGTTATAACTTCATTCATATGTCGTCTTAGGACATCGAATGATGAATTTGGTGAATTATAAACGGAAATTATACAAATATCATCAACTTTTATCGCAGAATATTCAATATGATCTTTGCCTGAATATTCATATCTTTCGGTGATATTTTCGAATTTTAAATCATTTTTTAAATAAATGATTTGACCGAATGGTTTTCGTACATCATGACAATCACGTCTGTGAACTATCTTAAAACCTTCAATTTCTAAGTTATCACTTGGTTTTGTCCATGTTTCAACAAGACTTATCATGGAAGAACACAAAAATGTTTTGTCAAATTTAACATCTGAAATATGCTTATTCAATGATTGTACATTATGAAAGATAATGGAAAATTTTTTCTCTTCAGATTCTTCAGGAAATGCAAGCGAAAATTTCAGCATTCGCTCGGATCTCATAGTTTTGAACATCAACGTCACTGCATCATTACGTTCAGGTGGTTTTGGTGGAACGAAGTCTCCAATTAAGTATAAACCACTTGCTTTTGTTGCACGACTACAAGCAACATATAATTCAGATCTTGTCATTCCCTTCTTCAAATTGACAACAACCTTCTCGTAAGTACCGCCTTGACTTTTGTATATGGTCATAGCTTCACAAGGTACTATTGGAAACTGCTTCCGTTCTACTTTGAAATTCGTTGACTTCGTATTTATTTGACGTATTACTGGTTCGATTGGTGTAAGACTAGAATCAATATTTTTATTACGCATTACATTGTGAAAATTGGCTCTAGCTTTTCTTCCAGTTTTTTCTTCATTGAATTTAATCCATATTCTACATGGTACTGTTTCATTAGTTTTTTGAAGTTTTCCGTAATCAATCATTACTAATTTTCCACAAGCACCATTGACTAATCCATCTTCCGTATCAGAATTGACTGTCAACATATACTTAGCGCCCACTTTCAAATCGATTTTAAGTGGTAAGCCATAAGTTTCAGTTGTTTTGAGATTCTTTACGTTGTTCAACACTTTTTCTTTTAATGATGCAAGTCCATCACCAATACAAAAGTCATATGCATTGGCAGTTGCACCTTCAGTATTAAGATTAGCCAATACTTTTGTATTGTATGCATCAACTTCAGCATTGCTTCTGAATATCCTTATGGCATCTTCAATCGTTTCCAAATTTTCAGTTGAAACAATTCGTGACTTTAACAGATGAATATCTTCACCTGTCATTGTTCCTTTAGCTATATTACTTAATGCAATGGCAAAAGTCTTATCATCCTTTTGTCTCATAATTTCTGTTAATTCAAATAATTCAAATAATGACCATAATGAACTATCTACTAAAGCATTATATGAATTATTAAACTGGAATATGTATTTATCACCAACTGGTCTTAATTGATTGAAATCGCCTAAAACTATGACTGATATTCCACCAAATGGTTTCTTTGTTCTCATTATTTGCTGCAAACGTGCATCAACTTGTTGAAACATTGTGAAACCAACCATTGATATTTCGTCTATTATTAATAATTGTAAGTCTTTTAATTTGACTCCAATTCTATTCGAAACATCGCTATTTAGTTGAACAAGCTTATGTTTGCATTGATTTACTGGTAAACTTAAAAATGAATGCAAAGTCATTCCATCAATTAATGCTGCTGCTTTGCCAGTTGGTGCACATAGTGCAGCCCGAATACTATCTGGATAATATCCTGGAAGTGAACTATAAAATCTTAGTATTGATTGATACACTGCTTTGATTAGAGTGCTTTTGCCAACACCTGCACCTCCATTGATGAAATGAAAAAATTGATTTTTACCATTCTTAATCAAATTCATTACGTTTAGAGTATATTTCCTTTGATTACTATTAAGATTTCTCATCATTTGTTGATATTCTGTGTCTGGTATTATTTTGGGAACATTAAAGTGTTCGACTTTTTCAGTTCGAGTATTTATTCCCATTTCAACAAAAATATCACCTTCAGTATTTCCTATTTCATAAATGAGAAATTCATTCTTATCTTGATCGTATTCAATATTTGCATCATCAATATCATCTTCATCTTCTTTTTTTTCCATATGTTCTTCTAAACCTTGTTCGAATTCATTAGCTTCACGATGAATATATTCAGATCTTTTTTGTTGAATTATATCTTTATACAATTCAAATCTCTCTTCATGGTTTATATGAATAAGATCTTCTTCTTCATTAGTCCATGGTAGAAATAGCATTAGCTGCTCTCTATAATAGTTTTCAGGATCTTGATGTAGTTTAAAGTATCTGTATCTTATGATTTTTTTCTTTGTCCTTTTTTTAATCCAACCCTTACCATTTTCCATTTTCATAGGAACAATTTTATTATCACTTTCATTTTCAGTGATATCTTCGTCATCAGAATTTTCTATAATTCGATCATTATCTGTTTTTTTCTTTGAAATATTATACATCGAAGCAAAATCAGCCAGACAAACATTTTTCATTTCGTCAGGTCTATTAACATACATCTCAATTAAGCCCTCAACAAACACATCTTTTGAATCAGGCTCCAATTTTTGAAGAATTTCATCTGATTTCAGCATAGAAATTCTATTTTCAGGTCTGTTTGTATTAATAAAAACAGTACTTCTGCTACTAATGGAAAGTGGAATACTTAAAATATGATAAACAGCTTCTTGTGCAGAAATTTCACTTGAATTCAAAAATTTATTTGCAATAACTCTAAGACGTTCTCTGACTGTGTTATTGCCTTTTTTTAACTCGTTCAATGCTTCTCGTAGAAGTTTAGACATGCCATTTTCAGATTTGTTGATGTATTCAACACAGTACTTTAAGCATGCATAAGGATCAAGAATGAATTGAATGTCCATATTTGCTCTGTGTAATGACATTATTTGTGGATTATATGCATTGATTCGCATTTCATTTGGAGCACGTTTCAAGAAGACCTTTGCTTTTTTTAAGTCAGCTCGAATCATTTTAATATATTCTTTTTCATTCATATTAATATGTACCAAGAATTCATCAAAAGTTAATGAATTATCGATATCTTTTGATATCTTTTCAAGTTCTTTCATTACGTTCTCCTTCTTTTTACTTATTTCTTCACGTTCTTTTTTAGTTAACTTTTCGTCGTTACTAAATGGTTCCAAAATCATAGTTTCTCTCATCGGAAAATATGGAATACCAAAACGACATTTAATACAACCGTTCACATATTTTTTACAGGTATGTGAATGTTTATGACGTTGCAAACTTATAAGTTCTTCAGAAAATTGTGTTGGTTTCGAACTAACTGAAATCAGTTTATCAATAAATTCTATACATTCTTTAATTGATTCAGGTTTATTTTTGTCGTATTTTGGAGCATTTTTTAACCATATCAAGGCATGAACATGTGGTGAACCACGAGCTTGAAATTCAATTCTGACATATTTGTCTTCTAGTTCGTAGCCTTGAAATGGACCAGAAGGAGCTGATAATATTTCCCATAGACATTTTATTCTATGTTCAAAATAACGAACACATGTTACAGGATCTTTTCTTATCAAATCACACTTCTTTTCATAGCTCATATTCTCTGCTTCTTCTAATGTTATGACTTTATTTCCAAACACTTTAGCCAATATTACAATAAGTTCTGACCACTTTGTTTCTGCTGCTGATAAAGTCAAAAAGATTGTAGCACAACCTAATTGCCTGTTCATGGCCATAAGTTCCTTTTTTTTCAGTTCCCAGAATGCTGGTGATGATCGATCACATCTCAAGAATGTGAAAGCGTCATCGTTATGTATTAACCCATTGACATAATCTCGATTGAGCATTTGTGCAACAGTTACATTTTTTGTATTTTTTGTTTTTCTTAGAGTTATTGAAATAGCATCTGAAAACTTTCTCGTTTGCAATTTCTTATAGGTAAAAAATAGTTTCGATATTCTACCACATCTTCGATCGAACATTCTTAATTCTGACTTAGCAATTTTAGCGTAAGTCAATTTAACATTTTCTTTGATTTTTCTTTGTTTACCACAATAAATTTTTGGAAATGTTAATTCATCAACTTTCATATCCATCAAAATTGATATTGGTCTATTATTCTCTGCTGGAGCAAATTTAATACCGATATCATTCTGATCTTCAATCTCATCATTTAATAATGTTTCGGTAGCTACTGGATTGATTGGTTTATCATCGGATTCATTCCAATTGGCATCATTATCATCAAATTCTGATTCCTTCATGATTTCATTCGCATCAATATTTTTATCTTCATCTTTAATAATGAAATTTTCTCGTTCATTAGAATACTCATTCAACCAATCATCGGATATAATGATACCTTCGCCTTTATATAGCTCCTGTTCGACAAGATATTTAACAGCTGTATGTACAACTTTTGGTCGAATTGTTTCATACATAAAGGCGTTTTTATTTTTCATTTGTCTCATGAGTTTTAGTTGGATTGTATGGGTATCGCTAAACTTTCTTGGTAAGACCGAAACATTTGTGTCAACATTCATCGGAACATTGACCAGATTACCTTTGAGACCAAACTGTTTACAGAAGCCTAACGTTCGAATCACCATAAAAGGAATTCTTGGTGAT